TGTTTACTGCGTTTCACTCCCTATATCTTTCTTGTTATTGTCTCATTGGTTGATTATACGCTATCTTTTGTATTGGCTGTTATGTTGCATATATCTCTCTTGTCACTTAGATTTGATGTTCTTGAGCTGAGGGTCTCTTGGAAACAGCCTCTCTACCTCCACGAGGTAGTGGCAAGGTCTGCGTACTACTTACCCTCCCCAGACCCCACCTAGTGGGATTTCACTGGGTTGTTGTTGTTGTTGTTGTTGGTCATCAAATAACATACATTATGCGAAATCAAGTTGTATTGTGTCGGTTCGCTCATCCATAAACAGGGTAAACAAGTACGACTCAATGTCACTCCCTGGAGTAAGTCCACGATGATGGAGAAGTCCTTTACATCTCCTACTACTGTTCTAAGGCCAGTGATGAATCCTTCGTACATATCCTTTATGACACTTACAAATTCAATATAAATTTTTCTCTTCTTCAATACCCACGCAAAGGACCTTTCTTGGTAATCTATCATATGCTTTCTCCAAATTCCAAATAATAGATGAACAAGGTTCACAATCTAGCTTCATTTATCACAATTCACCTAGTAATACCTACTCCTAATCAATTCCCGAGTGGACAAAGAACAATTACATACTTAAACCCCATTATGTGTATGCATACCAACTATTGGCTCGTTCATATATCATTACATACAGAGCCACATATTGGTAAATACCACCCAAACACCTATCCCAATGGCCAACAGTCTTTTCCCAATAGACTCTTGGTATCTCAATGACTCAAACACCCAATCTCATCATTGGAGGTGGAGGGTCCTTTCAACTAAGCTATCCCTCCTAGTCATGGAGACACACAAGTTCATTCATGTAAATGGATAGAATCCTGTCAAATAACACGTGTTATTGAAAGCAATCTCTTTATACATTACTTACAACAAACAGATGCACCACAACCAGTGTAAACTTGTCTCCATTTGCTATAATTTACCGTGTAAATACCTACATCCAAGCAAGTGTCAAGTAAACTATCAGCACTAAACATGCATTTAAACGCCCAATATGTATATGCATAAACCAGCTATTCACATCATCAACAAACAAAAACACACTATTTCATTTTTTGACCATGAACAAATAAAAACACAATTTCATATATGCAAACAGTTAGTATAACTTTCAAATGAATACCTAACATACAAAATCAATTTCTCAATCTGTTAATTGCGACAAATGGATACACAAGGTTTGCATATCTATCTCTATTTATCAAAATTCACCTTGTAAATACCAACGTCCAAGCCATTCTCGAGTGCACGTTCAATGTATTTGCGTTCTTGCTTCATCTCAGAAGCTGAAGGTGATGAAAAACCAGTTGATTCTGGTTCGGAGTCCGAAGCAGGCCCCAATTCAGTGTGGTCCGAATCCGGAGAGGAGAAATCGTCTGTGGCTGAAGAGATTTTTGTGCAAAAAGACAGTGAAGACAGCTGCGAAGCTTTTATGGAGCTAGGGTTTGTCAGCATCGTGCGTAAGAACTTTCTCGATAGTGAAGACGCCATTGATATTCCTTTGAATGTTAATTTTCTCCAGAAATGTAAATTTTATGAGCCCTTAAACCTTTGTACTACAAACTTAAACCCTTGGATGCCGTTTGGTGGGAACAATTTGGGAAAAATGAGTAGCTTAGTGAAAATTATGAACATGTTTTGACTACTTTATCCTCTGCTTAAACATCTTCAATCCAAAATTATATTTTACTTCATTTACATTATTTTATTATATTGCATAAAATATTTAATTTTGACATATTATAAATGGAAAAAAAGATAATAATATTCTTGAACTATAAGAAAAGATCTAAAAATACTCTTCATTTCATCTATTTTGTTAAGAATAACCCTCTGATAATTTTTTAGGCTTCTTTATATCCTTAAAACTAACAACTTTTCTCTTATTTTATTTTAAAAAATATTATTTATTATGTGTCGTTTTTTATCAGGTGAAATAAAACCCTCCACCCCCACAAAGTTGATGACATGGAAAACAAGATTAGCATAATTATGTTGGATCCCTCACATTAAGCTTCCAACGAATCTTCAGTAAAAATGAAATATTCGCCTCTAACTCATTGTTAGATGAATTTTCGAGAGATTATACAATGCTTGAAAATTCAGATAAAACAATCAAATTCTATTCTCTTCTCCACATTTCATATGTCATAATCTGTAAATACGTAAAATTATGTGTTTTATATCTGACTTTTATTGCTCATAATATTGATTTGTATTTTATCTGACAATTTATTTTCAACAACCAATCAAACTTTTCAATTCATAACACCAGTTGGTATAAATTTTTCGCTAAAATTTAGTTACCGAAATTGATACTTCGTTGAATCTTCAATTCACTTTATCTCTTTCTTGTTTTCAATTCTTAGCTTCTATTTTTTTAAAAAAAAACTAACTCTCAACTTCAATATCCTCTTATTTAATTTCTAATATTTTACTTTAAAAATTGGTAGAACCAGACATTTTATTTTAAAACGAAGCTTAAAAAAAACCTTTTTTGTTGTAAATATGTTGAACTAAGTGGATTGTCCACGAGTTTATTCATGAACTTATACTTATCATGTATGTATATTTCTTAGGTGATATGAATCTTTTTGAGATAACAATGTATCTACTAATTTAGCATTCAACATGGTGACTTTTTGATTGATTTCTCAACCTAAAAATAGAGATATCATTCACCATTGTAAGATACACTTGAGTAGAAGAAAAGTTCTCTCCTCCATCTACTTATCTTGTCTTTTTTTTTTCTTTATAATTATATTGCTATGAGCTTAATTTTATAATACGTTATTAGCACGAGTCTCTTATTTTATTTTCATCATCACCATTAATTTAAATTTATTTTTCTTCCTAAGTTGGAAAAGGTTCAAGAATGAATCATTACCATTGTGTCTTTCGAATGGACAACTAGAAGGTGCATTTTGATGATTGTTGGTGATGAACATGTGCTATCCTTGAGTAAGTATTTTTGTCTACATAATTGCATAATCCGGTTATCTCAAAGAAGTTTATTCTCCAGGTATATATCAAGTTATCTTCATTTTAATATTCTTGAGTGGATGATTCATTGTAAACTACATGAAGTGCAAAATAAGAAAATCACGAGATTTAGTATAATCTAAGAATGATAAAAATGGACATCCATTTTTGAATAGCAATAAGGTGTTATGACAAGTATAAAAGATAAATAAAATAAAAGGTAGATTGGTAATACTAGAGAATTTTTTACTATGTGGTATTGACTTTATTGAATACTAATTCAAAGTGTGGTCTGGTCAATTTAGTTTGTTAGTAGTATCCTATATTCTAGGGTTGTTAGCAGGTCATGATGTAGTACTTTTATTGGTTAGTTGTTGCTTTATAACTTAGTGACTTAGTAGTTTGCTTATTTGTAGCCTATATAAAGGCAACATTTGCTTTGATTTAATATACAGAAAAAGCTAAGGTTTTAGCACAAGTCTAATACTCTTATACTTTGCATCTTTGTTCTTTAAGTTTGCAGTCTATCTTTCCTCAACATCTTTGGTATCAGAGTCATGGGAAATAATTTTAATGCATTGAGTGCAGCATAACCACTCATTCCCATTTTCAAGGGAGAAAGCTACGAATTCTAAAGTATTTGTATGAAAATTATACTCAAATCTCAAGATCTTTGGGACTTGGTAGAAAGAGATTTTGTAAATCCTGATGAAGAAACTAGATTGTCGGAAAACAAGAAAAAAAATGCCAAGACATTGATGTTTATCCAGCAGGCTGTCCATGATAGCCACTTTTCATGGATTGCAGCAACAACCAGATCAAAGCACGTTTGGTTCATTCTGCAGAAGGAGTTTCAAGGTGATTCAAAGGTCATCATGGTGAGATTGCAGTCATTTCGGCGTGACTTTCAAGCCTTGATGATGAAAAATGGAGAACAAATTGCTGATTTGCAAAGATATTGTGAAGCTCAACTCTAAAATTTAATCATGTAGTTGTTGCTATAGAAGAGTTTAAGGATCTATAAATTTTTACCTTTAATGAACTCATGAGATCTCTTCAAGCTCATGAGGCGCGAACCAATCGATCTATTGAGAAGAATAAAGAGAAAGCATTCCAAGTGAAAGACGATGTCACTAAATATGGAGAAAATAATGGTCCAGCAAATAGAGGTCATGGAAGAGGAGGATTCCACGGTAGTCGAGGTCGTGGTTATGGAAGAGGCAGAGAAAGGAAAAATGGGCACAGGCAGCCCAATAAGCAAGGCAACACAAAGAATGACGTTCAATATCATCATTGCCACTACTATGGGCATATAAAGGGTGATTGCTGGTATAAATACCAGAAAATGAATTTTGCAGCAGAAGAAAATGAGGAAGAGAATTATCATTTTATGGCCTGCATTGATACAAACCATAAGCCAAGTGATATCTGGTTTGTAGACACTGGTTGTTATAGATGTTGAGACTGGTGTTGATGATGAGAATGAGAGGGTCGAGGAGAAGTTAGCCGAGGAGATTGATGAGGAGGAGCTAAGAGCTAAAGAGCACGGGATTGCTGAGTTACTGACCGAGTTGCATGAGACCGATGAGGTCATTCTTTAGGCTGCACTGGAGAGGTCTCTTCGAGAGACTTCAGAGGTTGGGTCTAGTGGAGTCACTCCAAACTCTACCATACCTCATGTTGCTAAGAGGGGCACTGATGGCCCTGTTGAGCCTCACATGCCACCTTTAGTGATCCTATTGTCGGGCATTGATGCCCTCTTAAGGCTTCACCTCTCGCGACTCCAGATGATAGTGCACCACATGCATAGCCTGCCAGAGGGACCCTTTCTCTCAACCTTTCACTATTTTTACTTATTTTGCATTGAGGACACTACATTTTATTTTTGGTAGGGTAAGGGCCTTCGTGCCAATATTCCTCTTTTGATTGTATTTTGTTATTTCGTATTTTGAACAATTATAGTCTGATGTTTCTTTATATTAGAGTGCCCTTTTGGGGTAAATGTGTGTCTCTTTATTTCTATCTCCTTCTCCCTTGATGTTGCAACCCCCCATGAGTTCAAATTGTGAATGTTTGAAGTTTTCATTGATAACAGTTTGAGAATCGATTTTGTTCAATATCAATGTCTAGAATAGTACTCATGATGAGCATGATGCGTAGTGATTGGTGTTGCGAGAACAAAATTGATGTGGTTACACCTTTGATCGTTCTCTTTTAATTTTTTTGACTAGCTGTGTTTTGATGTGTGCCTTTCAATTAACATCACATGTACACTTTTGATCTTTTTGAGGTGTGCTAAATGAGTGTATTTTGAAGCGCCATGTGTGGTGCACTTTTACTTAAAAGTATGCATGTGGAGTCGTAGAATTTTCCTTGTTTGTTCAATTGTGTTAATCTTGGTGAATGTGAGACATGATCTTGGGCAAAATTCAATGAGAGGACCAAATTGTCCATAAAGCCTTTTGTGATTACCTTGTGAGGGTGTGAAACCATTGTTGGCACCAATTGAGCTTAACTTATTTGTTGACAACCAAAAGAAGCCTCTTGAATCAAATTTTCCCTATCTTCTCACCAAAAATCCTTTTAGAAGCATTGTGATGAGTGAATAGCCAACTTAGGCCAAAATCCTAAGTTGGGGATGTGAAAAGGAAGGACGAGTGAAAGCCAAGTAAAGGGAAAAAGGAAGAAGAAATGAGACTCAAATCTGAAAGTTTTGCAAAAAGAAGGAAACCTTCCTTATAAAAAAAAATAAAAAAATATGTGTATATATTATCATTATGATGGAAATAGCTGGAAAAAATATAAATGAAAAACATACGTGAATGAAATAAAGGGGGATTCCAAATAAATTGAGTGAAAAGTTAAGATTTGAGTTCTCAAATGAAAAAAGAAGAAAAAGAACTTGAGAAGAGGTAATGATGATTGCAACAATGCTTTGAAAAGGGTATAAGTCACCAATCCAAATTTATCATACCTTAACCCTCAGCCCCATTACAAGCCTAAAAGACCCTTGAGATCTTGCATTAACTAGGTTGTGTGATGATTGGAAAATATTGTCAAACCTATGGGACAAAGCTTGCATGTATTTCTCTTTTGAGAGAGTGAGAGTTGCATTTGATTCCTATGACCTTTATTGATTTGCTTTGTGAGAGCATGAAATCATTCTTGATGTGAGGCACTTGAATGGCATTTGTTGAAACATGTTCTTGCATTAGACAAGAAGCTAAAGTTATCTTGAGCTTGTATTGAGACTAACTAATCATCATTTGAAGCTTTTTTGCTATTGAGAGTAATCTTTCTATGGCACTTTAATGTTAGCTCTCATTGAGTACTATTGTAGACACCTTTATTGAGCCTATTGTGTTCTTGATTTACTTGAGGACAAGCAAAAATTTAAGTTGGGGTGTTAATGAGTGGTAGATTTGCACTCATTTAAGGTTCATTTAGCTCAATAATTAGTGTCCTCAATGCCTAACTTTGTCCTTTTCTAATCAAATATTGATGTTTGCAGCTATGAAGGCAATTGGACAAGGCAAGGGCTGATGTGTGAAAGAATGGGAAAAAAAAATACAAAAAGAAGTGCAAAGTGAACATTATTGATTGCCTAACATGAAGGAAGGATCACCAACTGAGCAAGACCTTGA